GTGGGAGAACTTGCACAATTGGTGGCTGACTAAATACTTTTTTGCCCCACTGTAAATGAGCCTGTCAACAAGATTGGTTCACCCTAACTATCAACATTGAAGAGGCAGAAGAAAACAATCTATTACCAATGTTGTGAATGTAACAAATGCAGCTAGTTTGCATTACTTCATCCAAACCAAAATTTGTCAATGGAATGGGAGCTAAAATGCAAAGGCAAACAATGAGATGAGACTAAAATATTTTGTTACGTACTAAACTTGTTTTAGCCAACAAAGGCAATGTATAGACAGACATAGATTCCTATATGAAGATAATTTTTCTAGATCCAAACCTGTGATATTAAAATACACCAAGTGTACAAAACTGCTTATAGGTATTAATTCTCCTTTTTAAAAGTAATAATCATGCATTTGGGAAGCTGAATCCAGCCATTTCTTTCTTTCTTTCCAAATGCACTATAATATCAGAATTTTCAATTCAGTGTTCTGTTCAAGAAGAGAGATGTTTATGTGAAGTCTTCTGAATTAAGATACTTAGCTTTGGTTTTCTACTCACCCATAAGACCACTGGAGAACATCCCGTGGTTGGGTCCTGATTGCTGCTTTGGTAAATTGTTTCATAATATCTGGCAGTTCAGGTGGAACATGAATCTGCTGTGCACAGAACATAACATCTGGAACAGGCATGGTTATTCAAAGTCCAAAACTAGAATCCTACAGAAATTAAAAAGAACAATATTAATTAATTAATGTATCTAAAATAATAATTTGAAATTTATAAAGGCATACTGTATGTTAATATAAGTGGTTTATCACATATACCCCACTTTTCTCCAAGGAGCTCAATAGAGTACATATAAGACTACCCTGGAACTTAGTAACATCTCATAACGTAGATTAGGCTAAGAAGTGATTTTTGCAAAGGTACTATATGGTTAACAAAATGTATTGAATATACCACCTTTTGTTATGAATTAAACAAGCTGGAAATCTTTCTTCATATTATAACAGCTCACTTTGAAAATATAGAACAAGCATAGGGGGGTACCTATTTTTAACTGAAATATGGTTTACATACAAACATAACTTACAAAAAGTTATTAGATTTGTCTTTTTGTCCACCTGATGATAGATCTGGCAGCCAACAAGTAATCATAGCAAAAACAATACCATTCCTTTTCCATTTCAAAATTAACAACTACTGTATATTAGGCTACATCCAAATTATGAAAGTAGACTTTTGCTTGCATCAAGGGATGTTCCCTCACTCTTTTGTCATTTAGACAAATTCCAAATATTTTCCAGAACTTCCTTCCCAACTCTCAGAATTATGGGGTGGGAGTGGAGAAATAAATACAACTCACTATGAATTGATCATAAATGCTTTGGTGGATTAGAACATCACTTCGTAATCCGAGAATGGACTCCAACATATGCTTATTGCTCTGCCACAAATTCTGTATGTTATTTTGCATGTTCCTTTATTCTATCCTCCCATGCCTAGCACTGATTGCCCTATCTATATACTACTAAAACTTTCATTGTGTTTATCTGTGTCTGTTTGTACCCTCAAGTGAGCCCAAACGGTGCATTATAGCGCAAAACATTTTGAATCAAGGTACCTAAAATCCACTAAATTAAAGAATGCATAAAAAGTCTGGGACCCATTACTCCTGTGGAATTTAAATGTCCACGATGCTCACACGAGTTTTATTTGCAAAGTTGTCGCTGTTGCAGCATCCCCACGGTCATGTGATCGTGATTTCCGACACTCTGTGCCAGCTTCCCACAAGCAAAGTCAGTGGGGAAGTCGGCAGGAAGTCAGAAGTTGCTCCTGCTCCCACTGCTTTTTTGCCCACCCATGGTGATTCTGTTTAGGTAAGTAAAAATAATTGACTTATTATTGTAGTTTGTTTCCCACTACAATTATTTTTCTGTTTATGATATATACTCTTCCTAGATGATCACAGGTCTGTCCAGCTTTGAGGTAAAAAAAATATGGTCAGCCTAAAATTTTATGTTCATTCTGGTCACATCAGACTGCACTACCTTTCTCTGAAAGGATGACCCAATGGGTCACAGGGCTGTCTAGTTCCAGTTAAAAATCAGAAGTCTGGTAGCACTTTTTCAGACTAACAAATTTTATTAAAAGGCATAAGCTTTTGTAAGCTACACCTCACTTCATTAGAAGTATCTCATTCCTGTTAAGGGCTATAACCACTCACTTTACAGTTGCTTAAATCCTAAAACCCTCTTATATTTAGCCCAGCCTAGGTGCAACCTGATCCAAAGATATTCCAAAATTCCCCATGGAGTTTCACTATCCTGGGATCTTTCATTAGTAAGATGTGATTGCCAGACATCAGCAGCTATCTGCACCAGCTAAGCTACACTTTCTCTTGTCATTTCTTGCCATTTCACTATTCTTCTGAAGCAACCAGCAACTATTGTGGACTGCTATATCTCTGCTCCAAGTGAGTCAAACTCTCTCTCTCATGTGTTTTTCTACACCACTATAAAATGCATCTGAAAATAAATGAAATCTTGGAATGACATGAGTTTCTGATGTGAGGTTTTAGATCCATATCTCATGAGATCATATTAGTATTTAGATTTATATTCTGATAAATCAGTAGTTAGATTTATATTCTGCAAGTTAATCAAATGATTCTCAGGGCAGTTAGTAAGTGACATATTCTTAATAATGTGGATTCCCAGGGATGATGAGGTACCCGGAGGTAGAAATTTAACATTTTTCTCTTCTAACATACAATCCCAGTATCTACTAGTCTACAATCTGAGTGTTATATACTGCTGTTATTTTAATGCAAAAGTACAGAATATAACACTCAGCAGAATGCATTTCAGTATTCAGAGTACTAAAACTATCATCAGTGTTCATAGCAGCCTTCCATATCATCTTCAGCCTACATGCCTAGACAATACATTTTCTCCAAAATCCATGGGATGAGACTTATAGTCTAACACAGTGCTTCTCAAACATTTTAGTCTCACATTCTTAAAAATGATTGAGGACCCCAAAGAGCTTTGGTTTATGTGGGTTTTATCTACCGATATTTACTGTATTAGAAATTAAAACTAAGACATTTTAAAATATTTGACTTTGTGGACCCCTGAAAGGGTCTCAGGGACCTCAAGGGGGCCCCAAACCACACTTTGAGAATCATTTGTCTAACATGTCTAGACAGCACCTGGTTTATAGAAGATGCACTTTCTGGGACATTGTGTGTGAGGGAAAGAAGCACCACAGCCAGATAAAACGATATGGGGGTCAAATACAGAAATAAAAATGGGGAACTTTTATGCAGGGTTCCTGCTTGTAAAGTAGGTCCTGTGCTTACAGGTATATATTTGTAAATCCCTTAAGCAATTCAGTTTTACATTTATTAAACAGTGATGCATCCAGATAATTTTAGATTATATTCATAAAGATCTACTAGGCTCCTACTTTTTGGTACAGCTCACCTATTTAAAACGTGAGTAGCCTTAAGACTCCCTTCTGCTTGTTTTGATGAATATATATTAACAACAGTCTAAGCAGTAATGCAGTCAGGGCCAGACTTTGTGCCTTTGCTTAAAGCACAAAGTCTGGCCCTGATTGCATTACTGCTTAGATTGTTTTTAACATATTTTTACAATCTGCCGTGTAACCCATATGCATAAAAAGTGAGATACACGTTGTACAGATAACTCACTGCAGGGGTAGCAAGTATAATTCTACTTCTCACACTTGTACTCAGTGAACGCATTTTCAGCGGATGGCGTGATGTAAATAGGAAAAAATACTAAGCTTGGACTGGAGTGAGGAAATCTAGAGTTTAAAAACGCTTTCAGCCAGGAAGTAACTTTCTTGGTCAGTCATCCATACATATTCACCTTTTCCCTCTAGTTGCAACCTATCTCCTAGGGTTATTGTTCAAATAAAATTAGGATGCTGGAAGTGGGAAACCATAAAAGCTATACTAAGCTCTCTGGAGAAAGGGGAGAATAAATGTACCGTACCGCAAATAATGTAGTATTACCCACTAGTACCCCGCCCCACGCTTGAAACAGTAACCTCGTCCCCTTCGTCCGGCTCCAGCAGCTCCTCTCCTCTAATAAGCTTGCTGCTGTTCTGCAGCAAGAAGCTAGGGAAAGGAAAACAGGCAGAAGCTTCGCTCCTTTCTCGGCTGCCTCTCTCGAAAGGTCTGAGCGCCACTGCTGGGTTTCCATGACAGCGCGCGCGTCTCGCTGTCTCATAGCAACGACGGAAATCGCGGAGAAAGAATGACAATTGAGAATCACCGTTGGTCTTATAAGTGTCCTTCTAGTCCGTCGAATCTCTATGGTAAAGTCTGTTTCCCCGCCTTCCCGCATTGGAATTTAGAAGCCCTTTAACTTCCTGCGCTATCGCGGTAACGTGAAGTCGCGCGACTGTTGATGACGCAAACATTCTGAGCACGTCGCGCCCTCGAGCAGGCGCTGTTAAGATTGCGCACCACACCTTTGAAACTTTTCATTATATGAGGAGGAACTTGTTAAAGATGGGGTCTTTGCTTTAGAACAAGGTTTAAACCGCACTTTTAAATACTGTTTAATTTTAAAAAGGAGAGCGAAAATCGTAGATTTTTAAAAAATCAGTAAATAGAAATAATATACACAGATTTTGCAAAAAGAGCCGTAGCACACTTTTTAATATTTCTTTTAAAAAGAAAGCTTAAAATATCTAGCGATATTTATATTTCGATATATAACGAAAGACTCAAAGATTGTACACCAACATATGGATACTTGGATGTTGAGTTTTGTCTGGTTAAATAAAGGGCCACAGCGCAACAGAGTTCAGAAAAGATTACTGTACTGGAGTTACAATGCATGGCTCTTCCAGTTTAATTCTCTGACATGTTAATAGAAGTCACTTGTATGCAAAATATTTTTCTTCAATGAAAAGAAAAACTCAATGTGGAAACAGGGAGGCACCTTTATATAGGTCTTTCCTTCGCTTGACAAACAGCAAAGGCTGCCTGAACGGGAGATGTGCGCGTGCATTAAAACACCCACTTCCAGGGCTACAAGGAAATAGAAATGTGCTCAGGCTTAGGACTGTGCAATATTTGTCAAACCGTGGGCCAAATACTGAATTATATACACATGGAGCTACAGAAACTTAACATTCTACTAGAACAATAAGTACATATTTAAGAAATTAAACTGATTATAAATGCAATAAAGTGTTAAGCACAATTGCTAATTTCCAGCAACTTTGGACAGATAAAGATTTACTAGTAATGATGTGTACTTTCCTTTAGCAGATTTAAAAGTATTTTGAAATTTAATCACAGTGGGCAGAATTCAGTACTTGGCAGTGTTGTAATATTTGTACATTAAAGCAGTTTTCTAGATCTTAGGGCCTCAAAGAAAGGCCCCCAAATATATAGACAAAAATATAAAAAATGATAAAGTGAAGGAACAAATATTAATGCCCCCTTATGTTACATACAAATGTTAATTTGTATCACTGAAACAGATTATACAATTCACCTTTTGGGCAAATGTTGACAAGCTAAATGAAACATTCTTTTATATTATTTGTAAGTTATAAAATTCACTTGAAGATGACCAGGTACAAAAGGAATGTTGCTCTAAGGGAAACAGTATCATTAACTATTTCTATTAACTGTCATGTTAAAATAGCAGGAAAAAGAAAGCAAGTGCCAATACTTTTTCTTAACAAATTTTAATAATCATTGAACACCAGGTTGTCTGGGATAAAAACACCAATTACAAGTTACTGCATTTCTGCAAAATGCTACAGGAAGAAGCACAGCATTGCTGGCAATATCCTAGTGGCAAGACTGCTTGGATTGCTTTGTCTTTTTTTTTTAAACAAAGATGTCAAGGACTAATTTTGTGCAACTGAAAGTCTGTCACTAGAAAACGCTGTAATTGTGGACAAAATATGCTCTTGCACAAAATACTGAAATTGTAATATTTGGATTTCAAAAAGAAATAGATACAAAAAACTCACAATTAAGATCTGTATAAAGTACAGACAGTTAAAAGCAAGTGGGGGGTTTTGGCTACTTTCTCATTACTATACTTTTTAATGGGAGCAGTGTCAAAAATAAAGTTTGAAAGCATTAATCCTTGTATAATGCCAAAATTGAGGTAATACTCCAAAATGTCAGTAGTGGAGAGAGAGCACAGCCTCATTTCTACTGTACTTTAGCAGTGTGCATGAATATAAATTATTGGAAATCTAGTCTCCAAATCTTCCCCCCCCATCCTAAAATTATAGAACTCAAATAACTTTTCTTTCAGTACAAAAACATGCTGAAGACAGCAAGCCATTTGGTAACATAATTTAACTTATATTCAGGGATGCAGTCCTGAGTGGTAACACAGCTGCATAGCATTTTTTTCTTAATCTAAAAAAAACTTCTCACCATTTTTGAATAGGATATTGCATTTTCAAGCACATAAAGAAATTGAAAGCTTTAGTATTATTTCATCTCTGTGTTTCAGAAGTAATGACATTAAAATATATTATTATTACCTGCAGAAAAGAATTATACATATAAAAATAACTTGCCTTGGGAGATTTGTTTGGTGCAATTGTTGTAAAGATCCACTGATTCTTTAATTTTAACATCTGTTTCCTTTTCCAGCTGTTAATACTATAGTATTTAGATTCCCCCCTCCACACACACACACTAATTCATAAATTCTTTAGAATTACTGCCATGACATGTGCTCATTTTTAATATAAGAGACTATGAGTTCCATAGTATGCTTTGTAACTTTGGTTGTAAGAAAGTTCTAGCAATTCAGAGTTGTTTGTTGCATTTTTTATCATTTATGTTCTCTGTATTTGATAAATATGTCAGATATCCATTCTCCTGTACTCTAGTGTAAATAAATATTTACGCATTTCAGTTTGTAAAAAAGGAAATATTGGCTTACACAATGGAAATAAATTCTTACACAAACCTCTCAATTAGCTGATTTAGGTATTTCTGCCACTTGGCTCTAATGAATTTTAAGTGCTTAGAAATTCATTAAAATTCTGTCTTCCAGTTCCAAAAAATTAATGCCTCACAACCAAGCAAGTGATTAAAACTGTCTGAAGAAGAAAAGTTGTCCTGATCCATTCTACTGTACAGTATTACAAATATAATCACATGAAAAAAATAATCAGGCAATAGAAAATGTACAACAGCTTTGATGTTATACAGAAATATTTTTAAAAATCAAATGAAACTCATGTGTTCTTATCACAGCCACTTCATTGCTGACTGTAATGGTTATTTCATTTTCATCTCCTTGATAAGCTAGCCATGGCTATAAAAATGCAATTGATTCTTTTGAAATATATATTTTCCCTACAGCAATATTGTTTTGTGGCACATATGTCAACAGAACAGCAATCCAAAATAAAGTGACAACTAGATTTAATAAATTAATATTCTTTTAAAGATGTACAATGAACATTCATTTTAATCCAAGGTTGTAGGGTACTGGGATATTGCTATTTACACATTTACAGATCTCAGCACTGTAAGTTCAGAAACTGCAGATAGTGCATAGCCCTAACTGCTATCTGAATGCCATGAGAAAAGAAGCCAAAATTAAAATATAAAAACCCAGCTGAGAAAATTGTTGGGAAATACCCAAATAATGATGACCAGTCTATGAAAAAGAACACAAAGGCAAGGGAAGATCAAGTAATTCCATGTAACCATTTCTATTCTTGTGAAGACTGAGGTGGTGATGGTGACGTCCCTGGTTTCCCAGTTTTTCGTTCATAATTCACAAGTCGTTGCCCAACAAGATACCTAGGATTTAAAAGAGGGTTTTTTTTAAAAAAATTAGTCTTCATTTCAAGTTTGGGTATGAAATGAAATACTAACCAAAGGCACATTTCTTCACAAAAGGTATGATTTCATTGAAGTTTTAAAGAAAGAAGCTTCCACTGTTTTCAAGGGCTGTAGGAAGGCAGCATTACTACCCTAATCTAGACAAACCACAATAAATGCACATTCTGTCACTCTGCATAGTTAATTCCATGTGCTTCTAGAAAAGCTTATATTATGAGTGAGCACATCCTGAATATCCAAAATTCTGTCCATAATTTCCAACTATTCCAGCTTCCTAAAGATTTAGGAGATTGTTACTACACTCTGGCACTAATAAATCTTGGCTAGGATACTTACTTATCATTTTTAATGTGCTCATAAAGGCGCTTGAATTGACGGACCTGAAAGGATAAGATTCCCATCAAAACTACTACCATGAGTAGAAAAGGATAAATCCGACGTTGTACTAAATTTTGCATCTCAGGAGTGACACCTGCAAATCGTAATAGAAAAACAAGGAAACCAAAAATTAGAAGCAGTGCAAATTCTAAACTTTTCCATTTCTAATCTTAATTTTAATGTTAAGTTACCTTTTGATTCTTAATGAACTATAGATATTTTTTAAAAATGTAAAAAATAATACATTTAAACTAATGCGTTCTTTTTTTAAAAAAAAGGTTATTTGGATATTTCTCTTTGTACTGTTTACATGTTTTGAAAAAGCAATTAAATATCTGTGATACAATAGCATATTCTTAAAAACAAAAAACTGTGGTTAACTGAAGAACCCAACAAGCCAAGAACTAGTCTTTCTTTTCTTCCATCCACTCAAAATTGATATTCTATTTCTCCTTTACTATAGATTCTTAGTGATAGGACCAGGAATTTTGTGTAAGATCCCATTTGACTGCTGAGATTCAAAAAGACAAAAGATGCCATTTGCCTTCTTTATATGAAATTACTTAAAAGTTTTATTTAATATAGCTGGTTCTGATACTTGAGTAATAGGCAGAGACCATGTCATAAGATTATCAGGAATTGACAACTGGCATATACAGTGGGGCAAAGAAGTATTTAGTCAGAATCACATTGTCTGATTTTTAAAGAATTTATTTGCAAATCATGGTGAATCACATTGTCTGATTTTTAAAGAATTTATTTGCAAATCATGGTGAATCACATTGTCTGATTTTTAAAGAATTTATTTGCAAATCATGGTGAATCACATTGTCTGATTTTTAAAGAATTTATTTGCAAATCATGGTGAATCACATTGTCTGATTTTTAAAGAATTTATTTGCAAATCATGGTGAATCACATTGTCTGATTTTTAAAGAATTTATTTGCAAATCATGGTGAATCACATTGTCTGATTTTTAAAGAATTTATTTGCAAATCATGGTGAATCACATTGTCTGATTTTTAAAGAATTTATTTGCAAATCATGGTGAATCACATTGTCTGATTTTTAAAGAATTTATTTGCAAATCATGGTGAATCACATTGTCTGATTTTTAAAGAATTTATTTGCAAATCATGGTGAATCACATTGTCTGATTTTTAAAGAATTTATTTGCAAATCATGGTGAATCACATTGTCTGATTTTTAAAGAATTTATTTGCAAATCATGGTGAATCACATTGTCTGATTTTTAAAGAATTTATTTGCAAATCATGGTGAATCACATTGTCTGATTTTTAAAGAATTTATTTGCAAATCATGGTGAATCACATTGTCTGATTTTTAAAGAATTTATTTGCAAATCATGGTGAATCACATTGTCTGATTTTTAAAGAATTTATTTGATTCTTTAAAAATCAGACAATGTGATTTTCTGGATTTTTTTCCCCATTTTGTCTCTCATAGTTGAGGTATACGTATGATGAAAATTACAGGCCTCTCTCATCTTTTTAAGTGGGAGAACTTGCACAATTGGTGGCTGACTAAATACTTTTTTGCCCCACTGTATGCATAAGGAAATTTTAAGGGGTTCACATATATAGGATCCATAGGCCAGTCTACTTTCCATTCTGGTGTGCCAGCTATAGCCTAGACTGGTAGTAGTGAACAGTGAAGCAGGCTGCACTGTCCACTGATAACATATATTCTTCCACTCCTCAACTTCCCAAAGGATATGCAGCAAGTTCTTGGTCATCTGAGGCCAAATTCATGGAAATTAGAACTAAAAAGTTGTGGCACATTTGAACCCTATTTCATATTGAATTTCATACTCTTTCATTCCTTCCACACTTGCTCTAGACTCAGAAAAACTTCCACGAGCCCTTATTTCAATAGTCTACTGACACCAACAGGCCAAAAATAACTAATGTGATTGCTTTGTATGGACAGATATGTTTACGTGTACATTGTGATTACTGGACTTGTACTGCTCTGTAATAATTTTGATTATACTGCAAATTGAAAAAAAATTCCAAGCCATACCAATCTTTCTTCTGCACAAATACTGCATATATAAGAAGTTACTTTTATCTTTCTAGGCTGATCTTTAGCTCATATTCCCATTACCTTTTTAAAGACTTAGTAGTGTTCTTTGAAGATAAAAACTGGAATTTTAAATTTCATCTAAAGCTCACCTGGTGATTTTCCAAGATATAGGATCAGTTTTTACTAATTTTCTAAATATACTATTTCTTGAGTCTTTAAGCTAAACGTAAAATTCAATAAATACAATGAAACAATTCATGGATGTGTAAGAAAGTTACGGATATACTTGACATATCATTAATTTAAATTGTACCATCTGAAGCTTTGGTATTTTAATAATACATTTATGATTGTATATTTCCACTGTAAATCTTAACTGAATGTGTGGTCCAAATATGAAATCTGCATTGCCATCTGCACTTACCTAACAAAGGTGCAATACCAGAAGCTACGATATAAGGTACACAGAGAGAAAGCAGTAAAACTGAAATAACAGGTGCTGCAAGCTTTTGTATTATAAAGTGTAAGTCAATATTTCGAATTCCATTTGCATAAACCTGGAATATAAAATTAAAGATAGATGAAAAATGGCTGTCCAGCAACATTAAATTTAGCCCAAAGCATACATTCATAACTGGAAGAGAATGTCAATGTAATTATAAAGATGAGAGGTGCATTTTCTTTTTAGTTACATTTATTATGGCCTCCATGAGGCTTAGGGAGCATGTCTGATGACACAGGGACATCTCAGGGTGGGTAGGACCAAACAAATTGGTGGTAGGAAGTTCAAGGATGCAAAATGGATTTACTTTTTATTTTAACAAAAATTCAATATAAATTATAGCACCTACCATTACCCAGTTTGCCAACAAATTTAAGTGGCATGATCTGGGGATGCTCTGCAGCTACAAAACGGTCTGAAGGGGTTACAAATTATACAGCACTACCTTAAGAAATACTTATTTTTTCTATCATTCCATTCTTACAACAAGAACCCTGTAGGTAAGGTGGGCTGAGAAATAAGGACTGACTATGGTAAGCTTCCCAGGATGAGGGCAATGTTTCACTGACTGAAAGAGGCCTAAACCAAGGCTATCGTAAACAGGAACTAAGTCAAGGTAATGAATGATTACCATTTGTTCGATTTGCAAACAGAAGGCTAAAAGCATGTGATTCTTCCTCCCTAAACCACATATAGGACTGGGAGACCAGAAATGTATGAAAATTGACACAGATGGAGTTAATTGGTAGATGACCTTCAAACCCCCTTTCTTGAATTGGAAACCTCTGCTAGATCCCAATGCTTTCCAAGAATAGAAAAATCTTTTCCGTTTACAAAATGGCTAATCGGTATCCAAATCATATGATCAAAGTTAAGTTAGCTACTGATCTATTAAGGCTCAATTCAAAATAGTCCATTTTAATTGCCTTACTTTACATAGATACTCTAATAAAACTGAATATTTTCTCAAAATTGTTGTCTTTGCTCTAATGTGCCATGTGAGTAGTTTTTCATCCACAAAATGGTATTTTCTCCTTTCCTTTTTTCAGGATTCTACATGACCTTCCAAATTGGCTCTGGAGCAGAATTCAAGGATGTGCAAGGGAAGAGGATTATCTCCACCCAGTTATGCTGAGGAAAGCAATTCCAACTAAAAAGAAATGCCATTAATTATTATTATATACTGATATATTTCATCAGCATATTGATCACTAAAGCAAATATGGTAAATATTTCTAACCTGTTCAATTACTGTTTTCAGCCACCATTGTGGGCCCATCAGAGTTATGGCAGCAATTATTTTAGCATGCAGAACACCAAGAGCCCAGTCCTATTTAAACAAAAGCAATTATTATTATTTCAATACACATAGCATTTTCTGCAGTACAGATAACTTACAGTCTAAGACTTAGTTACATTAAACTTGTGTGAAATATATTTATCTGGTATATACATCAGCATAAGAGTGTAAATTCCAAAATCCCTATAAAAATAATGTTTCAACTTTTGGTGAAAATCCACATGGAACCTAATTCTGCTATCAAATCTATCTGATTCTGGCTACCTTGTACCACCTATAATACTAAAGTTTTCCTAATTGAATAACCAAGATATTGACCCTACTTACAATAGGTGTATATATGATATTTCAAACTGATCATGTAGGGGAGCTGAACACGAATATGTAAGCAGGTAGGTACTGAAATATATGGTACAAAAACAACTAAACTATTTTATGAAGGAACTGAAAGCAGTTTTCTAAGTCAATTTTGAAGCATATTATTAATTTTGTATGTTTTTGAAAGATACATTGATTTAAGGCTAAATTTACAATCAGAATACAGGTAGTCCTTGCTTAATGACCATTTGAAGTTATGATGGCCTTGGAAAATGTGGTTTACAGCCTGTAAAGCACTTCTGACCATCGTAAAACATTGTGCTGCCTTCCCCCCTGTGGTCATGTGGCTGCATTTTGGGCGCTTGACAACCAACTCACGTTTAGCCCGCCGAAGGGTTTGCCCTTCCCTCCGCGGATGGAGGGGAAACCTCTCAGCAGCGTGCAGGACCAGAGCTCAAATCTTGAAGATCTGAGCTCTGTTCCTCCAGCCCCACGAAGGATTTCCCCTCCATCCATGGAGGGGAGGGCAAACCCTTTGGTGGGCTTTAGGAATGTTTGAGAGTGAAAGGGCTGCCTGCCAAGAGGATTTCAGCTCCATGTGGAGCTGAAACCGTCCAGTTGGCAACCCTTTCGCTCTCAAAGAGCTACCTGCGGGAGGATTTCAGTTCTGCGCAAAACTGAAATCTTTTAGCAGACATCTCTTTCACTCTGTCCGCTTAATGACCAGGAAGATCGCTTAATGACCGCAACCTGGAGTGCCCAAATTGCAGTTGTTGAGCAAAGCAGTCACGTGGGTGTCTCGCTTAATGACTTCTTCGCTCAATGATCGAGATTCCGGTCCCAATTGTGGTCATCAGGCGAGGACTACCTATATCTCAAGAAGAACATTATCTGAAACAAGTTGTTTGGCACTTTGGAGGCTTTCTTTTAGGGTTAGCCATCACATAAATTAAGGTGGATAAAAGGCAGGTCTTTTCAGTTCTGGCATCAGGATGTGAAATAGCCTTCTAAGAAAGGTGTATTTTTGATAACACAGGCTATTTCTTTAAGCAGACTTTTTAAGAACCTTGATTATATTATATGCTTCGCTGCTTTTAAAGCTCAAAATTTTAACTGCTATTGGTTTTCCTTGTTGATTGTAATTTTTAGATCATATTTTTATTTTGTAATGTACTGATTTCATAAGGCAGGCTCTCAATGTGTCTCCTTCAATTAGAAATTACCAACTTCAGAGGCTGAAGGAACTGACCTGCCATGGGTAGAATAGTGGGGTCTGATCCAAGGGAACTCTCAAGGGAGCAACAATAACTAGCTCAAACAAAAGTCCAAGCAAGAGTGGAACTACACCAGCCAGCAATGCAGCAACTATTAATGTCTTCATTATCTAAAGGAGAAAAACAGAACTTCATTTATTGACAACATAATGAGCTGTTTTTAAATACAAGGGTGTGTACATAAATAACATTAAGAGGAACTCAAACACATATAAAAAGTTGTGCAGATTAACAATACATAAAATCAGAATTATAAGAGACCAGTTGTTTACCTAGATCAGATATGTGACATAATTAGCATGTCAGCTGCAGGTCAGAGCAATGGTATGATGTCATCAAAGATGCCACAATTTTCAGTTCATGATTTTTTGTTTGATTCCCATTTTTTTCTCTCTCTGTTAAGCCTACTGGAGGTTTATGACACTAACAGTGATCCAAAATTATGGAGTTATTTCTGTTGAATTTCACATTTTGGATCATGGCTCAGAGAGTAAGAGTACCAAGGCAAGATTGATCTTTTTTGTTGCTCTGCCCTTTCTTGCCTAGATAATTAGATAGATCTGAAAAACATGGACCCAGTGAGGTGCCAAAGGGTTGAAAGATATCTCTCTTTTGTGCCTGTCAAGTTGCCTGTTCCATCTAACTTTTTTAGAATTTTTAAAAAAGATTATTTTAATCCAAAAACTTAAATGGGAAATAACATGTTCCAAACCAAAGCATGCACAAAGGCCCCACAGGCATTTTTGAAAAAGAAAAAAAAAATTTTTCTTTTTTTTTTCCTAATTTGTATTTTTAATTTTTTTAATTTTCTTTTTTCTTTAAGATTAAAGAGTCTTGTTAATTGTATATGTATAATATAAATAAATATGAAAATGAAAATTGAGAACTGTTTTTTCTAATTCCTTGACTGGAAATCTACCTAACTGGCAAGAGAAGCATAAACTAGAATGAGGGAAAACATCCTGGGAGGTTATGGAGGGTGGGTGACCAGAAGCATTAACCATTTATCTAATGGTAAATGAGTGTTCTGTCTTGCCAAATCCATCCAGATATTTTGTGAATGGGCAGCTCCTAACCCCAGCTTATTTTGCAGGAATTTCTAAAATATACTCTTAGAATTCCAAATATGCCCATCAGCCCCAAAATGTTGGGAATTCTTGCATTCAAACCGTGTGCTTTTTCAAATGATTAATACAGGCAGTCCTCGCTTAATGACCATTTGTTTAACGATGGTTTGAAGTTACGACAGCCTTGGAAAAAGTGCTTTATGACCTGTATTCACACTTATGACTGTCACAATTGCATCACCCCTGCGGTCACATGATTGCAATTTATGACCTTTCTATGACGATTGTTAAGCAAATTACAGCAGTCATTAAGTGAATCACCATGGTTGTTAAGCAAATTTTGGCAAAAACGTCCATTGGGGATGCTGGATTCACTTAATGACCACGTGATTTGCTTAACGACTACGTGATTCTTTTAACCACAGTAATTTGCTTAATGACTATCATAACAATGGTCATAAAATTGGGTCTGGTCACATGGTGACTCGCTTAACAACTGTCCTGCTTAATGACCAATTTTCCAATCCCTATTGTGGTAGTTAAGCGAGGGCTACCTGTATTACTTTTCTTCTGTAGCTTTCCTGTTTCTAAGGAAACATTTGTTATAGTTATAGCGTGATGCAAGAGACATGGTCTCATCACATCTATTAAGTGATTTTCCAAATTTTAAAAGAAAATAAATGTTCTAACAACTTACCATGAGGGACCATTCCTTTACCTTCTGAAAAATCACTTGACGTCCTTGTGGCATCCAAGCAACAAGCACTGTCACAGCCCTAATTGTAAGCCAGCAAACATACAGTCCACAAGCAGCTGTATAAAGTTCATGGATTTTAGCAGTTCCTGTCCAAAAAGACATCAGCCAGCGGCCAGCAAACACTAAAGGGAAAACATATTAATTATGAGCTAGTAAGAAAGACTTTCACTACTTATGGTCATAAAATAATATAAACCTGGATCCAAAAACTTAAACTCATTCCATAAATGTAGTGGGTCCAGTAAGTTGATTGTCTGCAGCAAAAATTTTATGAAATTGAAAGCAATTTCAATAGCTGGGATCTAGTGGTTCAAAAAAGGAAGGAATTGATGAAATCCTAGCCAGTTATTGTAAAATTACTTTTATTGATCCAAACTATATATATCACAACTGCACTGCCCAAACAAAAACAACAGATGTTTGCAAAAATACTTGCCTCCTTTTGTATTACATTGTCAGCTTCCTCTAAAGTAATGTCAAGTCAAAACCACATTTTCTAGGAGGCTGAATTGTGTACCAATTGACTATTTATATAACATGGCACATTGCTGACTAACAAAGTCTCTTGGTGGTTTGCAATAAAAACAAATTTAAAATCAAGACATTAAAAGTAAAACAAGTAATTAAAACTAACAGTTAAAATCAACAGCTAAAAGCCTGTACAAGATGTCCTTTGAAGACCTTTTTAGAAGCCAATAAAGATGTTAGGCCCCTCAACTCTGCAAAGGCAGCGTTCCCAAGACCTGGGGTGGCAACATAGAAGGTTTGATCCCAACTTGCCACCAAATAAGCAACTGTAGGTGAACCAATAAATGGAGAAGTTCATAAAGAAAGAGGCAATCTCTAATATAATCTGGGCTGGCACTTATTCCTAAAGGAGCACTAGAGCTCCCAGTTTCGAGTCCAGCACCCTAACCATTAAATCAAACTGGCTCTCACAGCTGTAGTTGGTATATCAACTGAAACTGATAAAAAGCACTTGTGGCCATTGCCTCAATCTGGGAAACCAGAGAGAGTTTCAGAAACATTCCCAAACAGTATATTTGCTCCTTATGGGAGAATATAATCTGATTTAGAATAGGCAAATGGACCATCTCTCTGGAATTATGGCCCCTCACAATGAGCACCTCCATCTTGTCTGGATTCTATTTCAATATTATCATTCATCTATCTTATTACTGATTGCAAACACTATTTTCTGACAGTGTCACAGAAAAACAGATACGGGTGTCAATCAGCATACTGAAAGCACTCAGCAACAAATGTCTTGATGATTTCCCCCAACAGCTTCATATAGATAGTGAAAAAGATTGCGACTGAATGGAGTCCTGAGAGATGAGTTAAAAGCTCCCATTTCAAATAAAAACAGCTTCCAAGTAATATCATCTTAAATCTGGCTGTGAAATAGGAATGGAATTATCACAAAGCCACATCTCCTATTTCCAAATTTCTCAAGGGTTCCACAGAAGCCTTGGTCAATGGCACTTGGAACTGCTGATAAATCAAGCAAAACTAACAGAGTCACATCCCCAGACAGAGATAATCCATCAGATTGACCAAGATAGGCTCTGCTCTGTAGCCTGCCATGAAGCAAATATGAAATGGATCAGGGTATCTGCTTCTTTTAGGACTACGACAGTTGAGAAGCTACCTTTCTTCCCAACCACTGAAGATTAGAGACTTGCCTATAATTGTGCATTTCTGAGGGATCAAAGGGAGGCATCTTAAAAAGAGGTCTCATTGTCATAGAAAGCTACACAGCATAACATGCAAAGTTAATAAAAAATTAAATGACCAAAATGAATACCTTGTTATTGTGAAATGCATACCTGGTAATGTAAGGCAAATAAGACTTGCAATCAGGAGTGTTATGCACATGAAAATGATCAGCAAAAATATCTGAAATACAGAAAAAGTAGTGAATTTAGTACAGGTATATATATTTATAAAGAAAAAAGGGATTAAGGAAAGACTGATAGTAAAATCACAAATCTCACGGCTCTATACTGACAAGCCCTATTAGCGTGACTTACTCTCAAATAAATCTGAATGGCAGAGGTAGGGTAGCTTAACGGTGTGACCCACATTTCCCAGCATTCCAGATGGAGAATTAGCAAGCAGAATTCTAGTTTGTCCTTTCAGTCTTTTCTCTTTAAGAAAGGCAAGAGGAAGCCCTAGCTCTTTTCTCTACCCACTGCACAAGCTCCTTGTTGCATGAAGAAAGGATGATTTTGTACTGTGCATCAGACTAGCAAGGACAGCAAGCAATCACCTTGCCTTCTGCATGGGGGTGGAGGTGAGATATCTTGCTCTGTGCATCAATATCCATCCATCCATCCATCCATCCATCCATCCATCCATCCATCCATCCATCCATCCATCCATCCTTTATATACCTACAAGGCATTAATCAATTTTATGACAAAGCAATCCACTCCAGCTGGGTTTACACTTTCCATAGAAACATAAATTGGTTTTGACCTGATGTTGTTTGTGAATCCAACCATTATAATTTGTAAACCAAGATTATGGTTTGATCTTATGAGAAAATCAGACCATTAGAGTTTTTTTTTCATAAGCCATGACTAAGTAAACCATGCTAAGTCTGTTGTATGATTCTAGCTTCTGTGTCTGAACAGCTGTAATTATCATTTCTGATTATCTGAATACCCAGGGCATATTTATTTATTTATTTATTTTAATCTAAACTAGTGCAATTTGGGCACACCATTCCTACAGACTATGATGTTCCAGCATTCATGGAATCAAAGCAGCTTCTCATATATGGCAAATTTCAATCCTTCACTGAGAAATATACTGTAGACACACAGATTCACACATAGACTTTAAAGATGGTGTGTGCTTGTTTCTATGTAAGAAATCAACATGGACTACTTAAATGCTGCCTGAGCCTATGATTTTGTTAAGAAGTAACATAATAAATGAAGCTTCCAGAAGCATAACTCTCTGCAAGTGAGAGTAACACACACAGTAAAAGATGGCATCTGATACTTTTTGTAATGAAAGTCTGCTTCTATAACATTTCCTGGGATATTAGCCCCATCATAAACAAATTATCTAACTGAATTGCATTTCAAAAATCTAGACAACCACTAGATGGTTGTAAAGTGTAAGTATTTTCTGTACTCCTTTCCTGCCATCTAGTGATTTTCTGGATTTTTCCAGCCCAACCCTTACAGTCCTAAAACAGAAATACTCCCTTTATAATTGTTTCATTATATCCCGCACAAAGAAGGCCCAGCCAAGTGAGAATATTGTATCAGTCCTATCACAATGGAATTCAAGTGAAGATAAGCCAAAACAGACAGAAGATACTACACCCACTCAAAACTATAATCTTAAGAATTAGTTTCTGCAGATAGGGGAAACACAGAATAAATGAGATACTAGTTAGTTATTCTAGGTATTAAAACAGCCTACCCTGAGTGGAAATTTTAAAGGCCGATGATAAGGTTGAAAACCAACAGGTCCTCCTTGTTGTAATATGGCTTGGTGGGCTGCATGTAGACCTTCTCCCACAACTGGAAGAGCATTATTATTGCGAGCTGGTTGGTTATTAGGCTGCTGGTTTGCATTGTTTTCATTCTCTTCCTGGTCTCCCAGTAAGTAAGAATGCAGATCCCTAGTACAAGGTTTAATAGTATTTAATGAACATATTGGCATGAAGAGAATAAGAATGGCAGTAAGCAATAAAATACAAATAATCTATTTTACTTTCACAGCAGTTTCAAACATGATTATATGATTCTGGCACCAAAGGTCTCATCTTAACTAACTGGAATGTTTAAAAACACAGTAAAACAAAACAAAATAAGCAAACTAATCATAGGTAGTACCAGAGAAAGCAACCCCCCCCCCTTTTTTTTTGTGCCTTCGAGCCAGTTTTTGACTCTTGGTGACTGCCTGGAAAAGCCCCTGCAGTTTTTTTGGCAAGATTTCAGAAGCAGTTTGCCATAGCCTGCTTCCTAGGGCTGAGAAAGGGTGACTGGCCCAAAGTCACCCAGCTGGCTTCATGCCTAAGGCAGGGACTAGAACTCATGGTTTCCCAGTTTTTAGCCGGATACCTTAACCACTACACCAGACTGACTCCCAAGCAAAAACATTATCAAAGATATAAACACATGAATTGGTGCAACTTCATATTTACTATTTAAGATCAAAATAAAAGATGCCTATGTCTGCAACTGCAGCATCACCCAGAATAATACATGATTATAGCTATTAGTACTCAGATTCTTTTCAACAATAGTTGAAGAATATATGCACAGATATACTCCATTTAAATTGAACAAAATATTGCTTTCATTAAGTGAAAATAAATGAAAATTGCTTAACCTTTGCTGGACCATCCTCTAATGTCCAACACTCAAAAATTTAGAGAGACTAGCTGAAAGGCTCAGAATACTGCTATCCTCCCCACAAAGCTACCTCAAAGTATAACGTATCACATAAGAAAGGAAATTGGAGGAAAGCCTAAAAATATATCAAGAATTGTGAGAAGAGGAGATTATGTGGAAAACAACTAAAATATATTGGACTAGATAAATCACAACTTCATAGGTTAAAGGTATAAAATTACAATAGAAAACCCCCCCCAAAGAAATACATATAGTGTGTGTATTTTAAAGGAATAAAACAATTTATCTCTTGTATAACCTTAAAATAAATGAATTAATATAATGAAAAAAACCTGCATGGCCATTTCTAACTGCTTCATTTCAACACATGCTAAGCCCTAATATGTATACTCTTTTTAGTTCAACTGTAAAAAGATAAAGCAGACAAACATTGGACACCCAGTTTCAATTATTTAAGTAATAGAAAGTTTAGCTCAATCATTTGATGGGACTGGACTCTTTCACACTTACAGTAAGTAGCCAGCAGTAACAGTCCATGCTCGTACAAGCCCCTTCAGCCATTGTCTTGTGTGCCCTTGTTCAAGCAAAGCTGGCAGAACCACTTGAAGCAAAAGTAATTCTAAGGAAAGTTCACTTACAGGAGCATCACTGTGGGAATAAAAAGAAGCTGACATATTTTAAACAAACTCACTGTCTTTCTGATGCAAGTCTAACTATACCAATGCAACTATATCATTAGTTGGATTTTTTCTTAGACTTTGTTAATTGTGGGCATTCCTTCTGAGGCTAAATTAAATTGTTAAGTGTTGCACGTCTCCCACCATGATTAGCATGGCCCAAATTAGGATATATAGTGTAAAGAAATCCCCCAAATAATAAATTCAGCTCATATACAGGTAGTCCCTGGGTTTAGGAATGCTCAGTTTAAGTACAACCCATAGTTAAGAATGGAGCCTACTGTAGCAAAATGTTAGTTAAATTCACAATGATTCAAGTTAAATACACAATGGTTCAAGTTTATTACACAATACTACTTAT